AGATAACCGCTGTACCCCTGACTGGAATCTTGTGCGCAAACAAGACAACAGCATGGGCGACCGAGCTAGGGGCGTTCTCTTCAATTACTGGGAAGCTCTTCTTTAGAAGTGCGCGAGTTGTATCACGAAGGTTGACTTTGGGCTGCGGTGGTACCGGAGTGGGGTTCAAAAGCAGGCATTTGTTGAAAGGGAAACTGTTTCTCAAACGGCACGAAGACGTGCAATAGCTGCTATTAAAAGCCGTTGCGCAGTTCAGACTTCAGATCTGCTTCTTGCCCCGCTGCGTGTGTGTGTGTGTGTGTCAGAAAGACCAAATTAGCAATGCTCGGGATTTCCGATCAGAGTTCAGAATTCGGAGCCTCCAATGGTCCTAGCTTCCGTGGAAAAGTCACATGACTGCCCAACTATTGCCCAACGTCCCACGCAGCAAACGTCACAACTACAACTGAATCCCGTATGAGCAGCACCCAAGACCCATTGACGGTTGCTTCTAAGGTTCTGGTAAAGGCTTCTATGCCTTACTGCCCCAATTGCGCTGGGTAGCGGAATCTGAACGGGGAAACGGAAATCGGTTTTGGGCTACGGCTCGAACGGTTGAGTCCACCGCACTTGATAACTTGAGCCACCAACCAGGACAGTGACCCAGCGAGGTACCATGCGGCGTGGCCCGAACAATGGCAAAAGGAATGGGAACCACGGCACCTCGCGTGGCCCGTTCTGTTTTGTGTTCGAGCATCTTGGCAATCCGCAAAAGAAAGAATTGGCTTGCGCAATGGCCAAAGTGCAGTCTAAAATACTGGGAAAGGGCTCTGCCGCAGCTCTTGCATATCCTTGCCAAGTTGGTTGGACTCGGCACTGTTATTTATTTCACCACTCCTGGCACCCTGGAATTGGCTCGCAAATTTGCAAATGACCCGCCCTTTTTGACTCTGACCCTGGGGAACATCCAAAGCGGGCCCAGGAAACGCAAACTGGGGCGAACTGACCAGCGCCCACATTGCCTGACCAGTGCGGCTCGCACTCAGGAGTGGGTCCTGCTTTTGGTTTGCTCCAACAAATCCAGATAGAGCAATGACTTCCGCACAGAACAAAACGGAAAAGGGCCAAATCCCTATCTCTATCTTTGTGCGGGATCCTGTAAAGGATAATTACCTCCAAAAACCTTCTGTACAAGGGGATCCTGTGAATCAGCCGAGAAAGGCGTTTTCAAAAAATGGCCCTTGTTGGTATCCTTCAAAGGGTCCAGTTGTGGTGCGGTCAACTTGGGGCTCGGAGACCCGGTAAAACCACTGGGGCGAGTCGAAACCACTGGCAAGTCAGCAACATCTGCTCAAATCCAAGCACATGCAGTTGGAAGCTGTGCTAAGGGGGGTTGACACATGTTTCTCCAGATCAAAAGGTTGCAAGGTTGCCATGAATTGTTGAATCTTGCTGGCTGCAGTGCAAGGACTTTGCCATGCCTTCATGCCCCAAAAGCCTCTGCGCAACTATAGTTCCCAACCGGGAACAGGAATCCCCTGCACTAAGTGTGGCCCAGCAGCTTGAAAGCCCACCCAACCCTGACTGGCTCGCTACCTAGGTACCTGGGTACCTGGGTACCTGGGTACCTGGCTTCGCGTACCTGGCTGGCTGCGTGGGTTGTTGGTTGGACCTCAGGCGGGAGTGCCACTCGGCACTTCTCCTCGTCGCATTCCCCATAGCTCTGCCTCAGACATGCCCAGCACTAGGGCATGAGTACTGCTGGGGGGAATTAAGCCATGCTCGGTTTCAAGGCATGACTGCTGTCCATCTTGGATCAAGTGGGCTTTGGCTATAACTCCAAGCTTCGCGGGGCCCTCAACCGCATCCCTTTCTCCGTTTCTGGGGGCTTAAAGGTTACTTACGTGGGGCTTTCGCGGTACATGTTGAATGTTTGATCGCTTGCTTCCGCGCACGTTTGTGGCTCACGTTTTTGCAAGCTTTGCTTCCATGAGTATCGAAGCGCAAAGTGAGGTAGACAAAGCAAAAGCACATCCCTACGGCAGGCAACATAGCAAGCTGCTCTTGGCATGCGCAACCTGACTGCTCAGCTATTGGCGTTCATCTTCTGACAACAAATAGGGCGTGGCTGGAAACTAGCGGCAACTAGCGCAACTGCACAATGTTCCGCGTGCTGCTGCAACGTCCTTGCGGCCTGTTGTTGGACGCTGATATTTCAGTAAGCGTTGTACTTGTATGCAGCAACGCTTCTCATTGCTTCCCAACGCTTTCCAAGCACACAAACCGAAATAGTTCATATCAAACCACAAAGATTCGCAAACCTTCTGCGAAAGATGCCTCCCGCAAAACATGTGGTACGGTGCGCATTGTCAAGAATATTCAAGAATCATGCCCACCTTCCTACTACTATAAAGTGCAGCAAAACAGCAAAAAGGCCCAAGAAGAACAGAAACCCGGATCTCATGAAGCAATCTGCATCATCTGGCTGTGGGTCAAAAATGGGTATCCATTTTGGAACCCCAGTAAATGGAACCAAGGACTACAACCTGCGGTCCCCTGGAATTTGGTCCAAGCCCCTTGCATCCAAGATCGAAAAACGAAAGAGTTGGAACATCTAGCTTCAGGCAAGCCAAGACCCCACGGCCAGATCAACGACACGAAGGCTCTGGAGGCCCTTCTGGACTGCGAGCCGCGAGCCAATCAGGGTCCCAGTCTGCCCTTAAACTTGCACGCACGCATGACACATTTCCCCCTTCTGCCGGGTTTAAATCCAAGGTGCGCCAACGGCATCGGCTCCATGGGCCGCATCGGCCAATCGCACGCCCGAAAAAGCTGGAAGTAACGCGCGCGTAAGTGAAATGGATCTAGCGTCCAAAGAGACACTTGGGGCAGAAAAAAAAAGAAGGATAAGGGACATGGGCATGGGAAGAAGCTAGAGCAAAATTCGAAGGTCTGAGCCAAAGGACGGACGTCGCCACTTGCGAGTATCCGGCCAAGAGGAGGCTGTGGAATTTCTGGGAATGGACAATCAATTATTTTCCAGAATGAGCAATAATTTGTATTTGTGATTTGTGACAGTACCTAGTCGTGTCTGTGTCAACTGGAACTGATGGAAAGGCAGGCTGGGTGACCTATTCGGCACCCAGCGCGGCTTCCTGCGCGTTTCTGCGAGCGGGTATTGGCTGGCATCGGTGGCTTCGTCCGGATTGGTCGGCTCAAGCGCCGAGGCTAAGGCCAAACAGTGGGTTGGCCCTTCTGGTTCGTGCCTGTCACCCTGCGCGTTCCAGATAAAGCAAGAAGCTCACAACCGAGCTGTACAAGCTGCCACCACGCAGCTAAATGAATGCCAGGAGTCAAACGAATTCTTGTGAACACAGGCTCTTCGTCCACACAACTCAAAGATTCTTGAGCTGGAAGGAACCTATGCTGATCCCCATTCAAAAGGGCAATTCAAACACCGGAGTCGCGCGGGTCCAACTACAGCCAAGGTTCACAAAGTAAGTCTCCACGGGGTCTTCTGGGACACACAGAACTAAAGACCAAAAGCACACTTAGGCAACCCAAGCTGGACCCGAAAGGAAGGCGATTCAAACAGAAACCGTCAGCGCCATCAGCGGGCGCCTCCAAGGCAGCCCAGTTGAGCGCTGAGCTCTCGGCGAGCATCTCAGCGCAGCAAGGAGGCCGCAGTGGTGTCCAGCATGGCCTTTGGATCAGAAGCAATGCTTCCAGTGACCAAAGAAACCAGGTTTCCTAGCCCTGCCAGTCAAGGAGTCAAGACTTGGTGGCCAAAGGGGGGTATATATGGGACTTTTAGGGCCAGTAAAATCCATGGGGCTGAACAAGTCCATTTATAACTAAATCGAGGATGGGCTTCAGACCCCGTACCTTGCTAAGCTGAAAACCGTGCACTGTGTGCTTGGTATTCACAGCTTTCCGTCTTGGGGTGGGGAACCCCCAAGAAGCCACCATGTAGCTCCGGTAAAACATCTAGCGTAATTTTGACCGGGGAGGCAGCTGCCCCTTTTCGTCGGCAACGTGAGTCCCCTTCCGAAATGAGGCTTGGCCCCCCCAAAAGAAAAAACACAAACTGGTCGTTTCTCGTGTCCACTGGGTGCCTGACATGAAAAACGCATCAACCCGCGGCAACGTCAAACAAGAGGATGTGAAAAATCACGAGGTAACGGGTGTCGCATCAAAGGAGTCTGGCTAGGCCATCCCGATGCGAATCGGGGTTCGCTGAAACTGGCTTGCACGGTGCGAACAGGTCCAAGCCACCTGGAAGTAAAAGGGCCGCATCTTCAAGGGTCTTGATCTTTGTGTTGGCAAGCTGTGTCTATGTTAGACCTCCCCAAACAAATGAGACAAAAACAACATGTTCAATGGTGGCTTCAGGATCAGCCCAACAGTAACTTGCAAAGCCCAAGTTCACTTGGACCCGAACGGGAAAGGCGGGCAGGTCACATCCACTTGGAAAAACCGGCATTCCCGTGCCCTGGGCCCTGAGACACATGTAGCGCCCTGCATGAGCCCCCAATCACTGCATTGGCTTGGAGCTATGCCGGTCGGCCTACACATCACCAATAGGGTTTGTAAGGCAACATGTGCATCCGACCCTTCGGTCGGCGGTCGGCGCGCATGCCCTCCTGCAGGAGCTTGCGCCAGGTGGTGGCCCCCGTTCCCTTGGAGGTACGCCTAAGTGAGACAAGGGTGTGAATGCTCATGGGGCCCCTTTTGGTGCACAGTATGGTGGGGATTCAGATCTTTCAGCCACAAAGCCCCCTGCAAAGTAACGCGGCTTCAAGGGAGCCAAGGGGAAATCCAACATTCGGTGGTGCTCCTATTTTGACACATGCCCAAATCAACATGGCTTGCCTCCCCGAACAGGGGGTCAGTCCGATTCCCGAAAGATTCCTCAAATGGATTGGATGTTGCATCCATGTTAATCTGCGGGGAATACTCCCGTGACTGATTAGGGGAGGGCAACCTATGTTCGACATCACGAATATGCCCCTGGTTGATTCGCAGTGTGTCCCACTTCTGGAGTGGGTTTCTGAGGAATCGAATGGAACCGAACGGGAAGCTACTGCGGTATTTCCGGTGAGCTGAACCAACTCACGCCAACGTTTCGAGCAACAACGCCTCAGGCCGCCTCTTTGGAATGCTGAGAGCTTGCTGCCACGTGCCCCAAAACGAAAGAAACTCAGCGTACCCCCTCCCTTGGTTGATGGGACATTCGTGGCAAACATGTTCGCCGATCTTCGGCCACTTCGGCAATTGTTCACATGCCCCCCGTTTCCCAAGCCCAGAAAAGACTACTCACAATGATTGCAGTTCCCTGTGGTGAAACCTGAGTTTGTGCAAGGTGTGATACTGGATTTCCCTCAATGAAGTGAAGAATGCGCACTTGCAAGCAGAAGATGCGAGTCACTTTTGCATGTTCAACGTGCCTTTCACACTAGAACACTTACAAGTGACCCCCTAACGAGAGCTCTAGGAGATTCAAAGCTCAATCCCCGAACAACTGTTTTTTGTTCATGGGGGAGTGACTATGGTTTGCCAACTACATAAAGTTTATGATCAACGGGTTCAACTGCTTGGCAAAGTTGGCGTCTGCGATCAGAACTACCAGAAGAGTGTGAATACATATGCACGTCTCAATCTGAACATGATTTTGTGTTTGGGCCCACTTAAATCTGGTGAACAGCATTTGCAAGCATCTATGTATGCCAACCACTGATTGAATATTTTCACCAGTTAAATTTCCTCGCCTTGCACTGTCTGCATGAGTGATTCTACTCGGTTTGTGTGTGTGTGCGCGCTTGCAAGCAGCTCGAGAAGCTCACCACGAGGCACTTCACTCCGTCACTCCCCTCGTGCGAGGACCCCTGGAAATTGACCCGATTATGACATGCGGCTCGTGGCGTCTGCACAAGGCGCCCAAAGCAAACACTTCATCAATCATGCGGTGTTGGTCACGAGATTGGCGTGAATCCCCTGCGGTGTTGGCTGAACACTTCTTCCACATCAATGACGTAAACATAATCATAAGGGTGATTGAATATCCAAGCGCAGCACGTCTGGACCCCTCCGTTCCTGAAAGGAACAGCGAGAACATGTAAGTCTCAAGACACGTTCACCGAATGAGAGCAGTACACATCTTAAATGACCAAAGAGAGATGTAAAGACCCACTAGCAGCTGCCAAGTCGCACCAAATACCTCCGCACCTTAGCGAGCCGCTCTGCCTTTGCGAGCTGAACACCCAGACAAGGCAACATGGGCTCGGGTCTCCACTACAAGCTCGGGCAAACTTCTGGACGATTTGTCCCGAAACTCCCTTGACCATAAGTCACAAACGCCAAATGCCAAAGCTGACACCTACTTCCCTCAATCCGAAAACAGGCGACATGGGGATGCGTCAAAATAGGGGCACAGTAAAAATTGTGTGTTTTTCTCTTGGCTTCCCTTTAAGCCAAAGAGTGCTATGGGAACCCCAAAACAATACACGCACCCAAATCGCATCGACTCAGCGAGGGCAAGGGCTCCAGGCCGTGGCTAAATGGAACCGTCGGAGGTCGCCGAGCGCAGTGACTGCCTCGTTGTAGGCCTGGGCAGGACGTGGCCCGTTTTAACTAGGCGGGGCCGCCTCAGCCTGGATGAAGAGGTGTAACAGTTTTTTTTTGTAATGGAAGGGGCGGAGGGATGACCAGTTTTAGGTACTCAGTTGACCCTTCGGGATCTTGACCACGCGCCAAAGGGCAAACTAGAAGCTGAATAGGTCGATTCATTCTGGACAAAGTTGCCCGGCCTGATACGCTTGATGAAAAACACGCACACACGCACTTTTCACACACACACACACACACTTAGACTCCAGATGGAGGGTGCTAATCCTTTCGAGTACAACTGGTAAGTCTCGGCTTGGATAAGGTTCTTCATGAATAAGTTTCGGCTCGCAAAGCACTCGGCTTCCCTCTAGAGGCGAAAACGTTACCCGAAAGAACAAGAAGCACAAACAGCGCCGCAACCAAGGGGCCAAATAGACTTTCAGAATCACGCAAATGTTGCAGGTACACAGCATGGCGTCCCGTGTTGCTTCACGACAACTCTGGACGGTCTTCGTTGGGCAACGCGACCCAGAGTGTCCGTTGCCCCCCTGCATGTTGAAAAGTTGGCATCAGGGTAAATCTGATGCTCCGCACACACACGCCCCCACAGGGGCAAGTGACGGGGCGGCTCTGCCTGCCAGACAACTTTGAAACGGACCTATGCCAGGGGTGGCTCAGCCAGACGACCTTGAAACGGACCTATTCGAGGGGGTGGCTCTGCCTGCCAGACGACATCGAAACGGACCTATACCAGGGGTGGCTCTGCCTGCCAGACGACCTTCAAACGGACCTACGCAAGGGGTGGCTCAGCCTGCCACACGACCTTGAAACGGACCTATTCGAGGGGTGGCTCTGCCTGCCAGACGACTTCGAAACGGACCTATGCCAGGGGTGGCTCTGCCTGCCAGACGACCTTGAAACGGACCTACGCAAGGGGTGGCTCAGCCTGCCAGACGACCTTGACAAGACGATCCGCAACATCATGGAACAGCATTGCGCAAACAGAACATGCACGCACAACCCGAGCATTGCACAACCAGAACATCAAGTTCAACGGCATGGGTGCAATCAGCAAGCAGCTCCCAGGCACTTGTGAGACGTAGCTATGATCTGGTGGCTGTCTTCCCTTTAGTGAAACCTCGTTCCTGCTTAAATGTGAAATTCCGCTGTTCTATGATAAGCACGTTGAGGTCAAATTGTCCGACAAAGCCGGCCCGGGGTCACACGATGGGTACACCCGAGGATTCCCCACGAATGGGGTGTACACACTTAGACTCCAGATGGAGGGCGCTAATCCTTTCGAGTACAACTGGTAAGTCTCGGCTTGGATAAGGTTCTTCATGAATAAGTTTCGGCTCGCAAAGCACTCGGCTTCCCTCTAGAGGCGAAAACGTTACCCGAAAGAACAAGAAGCACAAACAGCGCCGCAACCAAGGGGCCAAATAGACTTTCAGAATCACGCAAATGTTGCAGGTACACAGCATGGCGTCCCGTGTTGCTTCACGACAACTCTGGACGGTCTTCGTTGGGCAACGCGACCCAGAGTGTCCGTTGCCCCCCTGCATGTTGAAAAGTTGGCATCAGGGTAAATCTGATGCTCCGCACACACACACACACACGCACACACCAGTTGGTAGGCGGTTTGTCCCATTCATGAGTTTCATCCATCCTAGGTGCAGGATTTGATGTGTCTGGGTGCTGAATAGGGGATATAAGCCCCAATAAAACCCATGTGGCCCATGTAGGTTCTTGTTGAGGGCAAATGGGAAACTCCCCGCAACCTCCAAAACCACCAATCTAAACCACCAATGAGGGGGAGGCTGAAAACCCAACTCTGCTCAAATCAAAGAAAAGCGGCCAAGCAGGTGCCAAGAATCTGGGAACCGCGCTTGCTGCAGGCCCGCCGCGTCTTCGCCCACCTCTCAAATTGGGTGATGAGGGTGCTACTGAACTGGGCCGTTTAGCTGGCCGCCCTTCAAACCGCAACAGGCGATGCCATCAAAACATCAGGAAGCTCACCCAAGTAAGAGCATTGTGACCCCCTTGGATTTTATCACAGCACATAGGGGGGGCTACAAGCTTCAAGCCCCCGCAGTGCCGGAATGGAGAGCTCCGAAAGTCTGGCTTCGTTCACAGAGAAAGGCCAGGAAAAGCCACAATTAGTTGGATTCAGAGCCTGGGAAGAAGAGGGGAACTTTGTGCTGGAAAAACCTGGAGTCAAAAGCTACGTTGACTTCGAGGAACCCTCGCTTTTTCAGGCTCCCTCGTGCATGAGAGCACACCAATCTTTGAAAGCAGCGCGCTAACGTTGGAAGATTCGAACTTCGTGTTGCTCGCGGCAGTGCAATCTATAGCACCTGCAGAATGTGGTGGAGGGGACATCTTTGAGTCCCCAACTTGCAAACCTTGGTTTGCCCCATGAAGCAAAACCTGGCCGCCTGTGCTCGGCTCTGTCCTCAACGGGTTGACTGGGCTTGTAACCCTTATAACTAAAGCTCGGTGGCCAAGAAGGTAAAAAGGGGCCAAAAGAAGAGGTTGACCGGTGGACAAACCAGGGTCCTCCACCCGGCCCTGGCCCGGCCCCAGCGCGCCTTGCTCACGATCTCTGGGATGGTCGCCAAACCCTTCCAGCGCGCGCCTCAGGTTGGCGCAGCCGGACTAGACCGATATGTTTACATGTGCGCGTGCCAACTGCTCATGCTACGAAACATGTGCTCACGTATATACATGCGTGAATGCTCAGATACATAACTTCGTAAATAAATCGAAGCACCTTGAATAGCAACAGCCAAGGTGGGGCAAGATCAACATCATTGAAACTTTTAGGTTTGCTAAAAACACCCTGGCGCAAGCGTAGAGGATGGTCTGCAAAGGAAAGCCAAAAGAAACCGCTTCTGCGACCATTTTGGTTTGGCCGCGCAGCTTCTCAGAGCAACGCTGCGCTTGGCACAGAACAGGGCTGCCATCACTTTGCCCAGCCGCGAGCTCCCATGTTTCATGTCTGGACATCGAGGCGCGGGCGGAAATCGAGCACCATCTGCCTGTGCCCTGCCTAAGGCAAGAGCCACAGAAGCCATTGGCCTTACATACCGCACATGTGGGAACGAAAAGGGCATTGGCCGATTCTGCCACATCTGAAGCAGCCTAATTAGACGATGCCGCGCGTGTCTTGGCAACTTCAGCTTCACAAGTTCTGAGCACGAGCCAAGTGAGCGCCCTCCGAGCGACGTGCAGCTGTTTCCTGGGTGGCCCGCTGGCATGTACAGCAACATCTCCTCCTGGCTGGGGGCGGCTCCCAGCTTTGCCCAGCCAGCGGCTCTCACAGAAAAATGACACATTTTGGCGCCTGTTGGCATTGGATCCCGGGCCGGAAACATCGGCGTCGCATGTTTTTTGAGAGCTGGCCGATGTGCAAGAAACGCGCCAAACTGAGGTGGAAAGGAGGGAACTTAAAGAGTGGCCGGCTTCGGACCAAGGCGGCGCATCAACTCTTGGCCCAAAGGACTCCTGCGAATGGATTGGAAAAATGAAGACTTGGCTAACCCGTAAGGAACCACAAAGGACTCCTTGCCAAACCCAAAAGCCAAAAGATGCCAAAAGGAAGGGTTGCCTTCAGAGCTTGCGTGAACGCGTTGCCATCAGATTCATCCGAGCCTGGAAGGCAGCACCGGCGTGTGCCTAAAGCCGGCAGTCAGTGACCCAGGAGTCAGACTGAAGGCTTCGAAGTCAGCCAAAAGGCCCCACATTTCCGTGATTTTTGTTCTTGGGATTGATTGAAATTTCATGTTTGGGATTGATGGAAGAATTCAGGGTCCTTTGATCTCTCTCTCATCCTGGCTCAGCCTGATGAATTTCATTGGATGTGATTGAATCTCAGTCTTCAAGCTGTTAAATAGTTCCCTGGCACGGCGGACAACAAAGGACGGCTTGTCCAAATGCACACACTCTGTCAAATACCAGTTTCTTGCTACTTGGAGCCTTCACTCTTACACATCCGCAAGCACGCTCCGTATCTCAGGTCTACGCTGGAGCCCTGCTAAAGGAAGAACCCCCGTCAATTTTTCAGGGTCCAGCTCCTAATATGGTGCCCTCAGACACCACGACACTTGCCCTCAACCCCCCCTTCAATGCTTCCTTCGGAAGTCGCCCGCATCTGAACCCCGCGGATTAGGCCGAAGGGCGTGAGGCACCGCCAGTAGCGCGTCAAGCAGCAGGATCACCGTACTCTGCCCCGCGCTCGGGCCCTAGCAATGATCCGCTCAATGGCTTGTTGTAAGTGCGGCAGGGCCTAACCCTGGCCTTCAAGATGAGGGGAAGTCCAGGGGGGGGGTGGCATAACGGCCTATAGCTTTCATGATTTTAATTTCCCCTCTGATTTTACCTTCCCCTTCCTTGCCAAACATTGAGTGGGTGACTGGGAACAGAGGTTTCTTCTTGTTCGATTTGCTCAACCACATAAGCTTGAAAGAGGGCGCACGGAAGGTTGCACCGCCTGCCAGAAGTGCACAATGCCTTTTGACCAGCCTGCTTTCAACAAGTCCTCTTCGTAGGTATACCTCCACGGACTCTTGTGAAGCAGCGATCTCGAAATCGCACATGTATGCAATCGGAAGAGCATGCGCCCGGGCTCGTAGCAAACCAGTCCACACAGGAGCAAAGGGGCGAGCCCAAATAGAGGCCACAGCCCGATAGTCCGGCAATGTAGCGCTAGGGGGAGCCAATCGGAGGCGAGAGAACCTCAGATCTGGAGCTTTCGGCCACCGGATCCACCCGGCCTTGCATTGATTCAGCCAGGCCCCGCTGGACAGTGACCTCGCTTCGTGCACTATCTTCATGTGGGCCATGGTCACAACGTCTGGCTTCCCACTTCCCATGGTATAAGACAAATAGTGAGCCCCTGGTTGTTGGGATAATTTAGTCAGTCCTCCATGACCCTCCCAAATGGACCCTAGACTCTGGCAATTTTGCCCGAACCTCATGCGAATGTGACAAACTGATGACTATGACAACCAGCCACAGGTTTTCACAACCTAAGAAAGTATTTAGTCCTCACAAAATTGGTCAAATAGCCTTAATCTGCAAATTTCAGACTCTAAGGCTGGCTGCGCGCTCAACGCCCCAAGCTGCTGATCCCCAAACTGACCCTTCGGCTGCCAATCAATCCATGCCCGAGGCGATATTGGACCGCTGCACCTGATCGTTTTATGCCTGTGCCACGGCAGTGCCTGCACAAACAAACTTGAATTCTCCTTGCCCAGTTTCACTCCCTGGCAGCCTCGCAGGCGCACGTTGTTGGTTGTCCAAGTAGGGGTTTCTCAAAATGTTGGACTCTCCGTAGGTTGGTACTTAAAGGGAAGCCAAAAGGAAAACCAAAGAGAAGGGAGACGAAGCGGAAGGAAACAAAGCAGAGGAACGAAGGAAAAGGGCCGGAAGAATTGCCAAGAGAAGAGAGGCGAGAAGAGGTGGAGAGAGCACAAAAGAAAACGGGAGAGGAGCGCTCATTTGAACCTCTGGGTTTGGGTCAAAGCTGATGACAGGCTAGCAAGCTTGTGGGATATATACTGATTTGCAAGTATTTCATGGACAAGTTGGAGCTCGTTGTCTGCTTTCCGTGCAAGACTTGGAGCTCGTCCCCAATTCTATCCCTCTCAAATGGATCACAAACGAAGAAGAACAAGTTTAAAGGCTTTGCCTCCTTTACATACATATATACATATACAAACACATACTTATACATTTGTGTACATCCTGTTATATATGTATGTATATATATATATACATATACATATATATATATATATTGGTCACAAAAAGGGTATGGACCCACAAAAACGGGTGCTGTCCTTTTGGCCGGCGACGCCCTGAGGCTGGCGCGACAGTCCGGTAACCGCCTCAAGGCCCTCCCAAGGTTTGGCCTCGCTTTGGCCATCACATGACGATTCTGGAAAATCAAAAGCAAACAGAGGGACCAAAACAACAATGCTTGTAAACACGATGCTTATACCATATGCTAACCAATTATTACAATGATGATGAAAAACAACATTCAAGAATATGCTTACAACAAAACACAACGCCTGTTCATAAACGAAGCGACAAAAACAACATGATTATAGAGGGAAGTTGAGGAGCTTGGGATAAAATAAACAGGATGATCACTTGCCCCGGAAATTGCGCAATTGCGAACAAACTTGGAGCTTGGAAAGGGGAACCGAAATGAGCGCTATCTGATGGCTCAATCTAAGCTCTCACAGACTTCAATTCAAAACACCAGCAGCTTCGGTTGCAACTTGAACTAAAACATCCCCACCGTTTCGGACAATTGAAACCCCTCGCCAGCATTTCCTTTGTAGCTTTGGGAACATTGGAAATTGTTCTTGATGGGGTAGCTCCGACACATTGAGGTGGGGATACTAAAACTGTTCCACCTGATACTCCCATGGACAAGGCTCGGCATCCGCCGCACGTGGTGAATCTTCTTTTCGCGAGCATTTTTCCAAGGTTTCTTCCTGCGCGTAAAAGGTGGCTATCGAGGATGTTTTGAGGATCCCAAGAAAACGAGATCTGCTAATGAGATGACGCAAACGGACAAGTGCTTGTTTCCATGTCCAAAATCCCAAGTGCTGTCCAAATAAGCCTCGTGCTCAAACACCACCATTCAGACTTCTTGCGGTTCGTTTTTGTGATTAAACGGCCCCTACTGTTTTTGGCTCAAACAACGAGGGAATTTGTTGAGAGAGCAGGAAAGGTTAGGTTCCGCAACGGCATTTGGAAAAAGTGCGTGGAAAACCCTTCAATGACACATTCCGGATGTTCATCCTCTGACTGTTGCAGGCTTTCCCACAAAACACCGCGCCCGCTCAGTTTTTCTCTCGCAGCAGAAGTAAGCAATCGCCTTCTCAACGGCACCATGCCTCTGGAATTTGAATGTAGCAAAGAAAGCCGAACTCCAGCATACGGGTTTGTATTTTTTTAGGGTGGCCGGGCAGGAAGGTTTGAGTACGGGGTATGATTCGCAGGTATGATTCGCGGGTATGATTCGGGGTATGATTCGGGGGTATGATTCGCGGAAGCAGCAGCAGCAGCAGTAGTAGTAGTAGTAGCAGTTCGCAGAAGTAGTAGTACTAGTAGTAATATTGTAGTAGTAACATCAGTAGTAGTAGTAGTAGTAGTAGTAGTAGTAGTAGTAGTAGTAGTAGTAGTAGTAGTAGTAGTAGTAGTAGTAGTAGTAACAATAGTAGTAGTAGTAGTAGTAGTAGTAGTAGTAGTAGTAGTAGTAGTAGTACAGTAGTAGTGGTAGTAGTAGTAGTAGTAGCAGCAGAAGTAGTGGTAGCAGCTGTAGCATAAGCAGCAGCGGCTGTAGTGGTGCGGACGCTGTGAAAAGACTTAGCACTAGCCTTGGCAGGGGAAGCTCATTGTCCGGGTATGATTCGGGTATGATTCGGGTATGATTCGGCTAGGTGCAAAACGGCACTGATTACACACTCAGAATGATGTATGTGGTAGTAGTGAGTAGTAGCAGCAGCAGCAGAAGCAGGAATAGTAGTAGTAGTAGTAGTAGTAGTAGTAGTAGTAGTAGTAGTAGTAGTAGTAGTAGTAGTAGTAGTCAAGGTTGTAGTCGTAGTAGTAGTAGTAATAATAATACTAGTAGTAGTAGTAGTAGTCAAGGTTGTAGTCGCAGTAGTTAGTAGGTACGGGTAACAGAAGCAGAAGTAGAAGCAGCAGTAGCGGTGGTAGTGGTAGTAATACTCGTAGTCGCGGTAGTAGCAGTAGTAGTAGTAGTAGTAGTAGTAGTAGTGGTAGTAGCAGTAGTAGTACTAATTGAAGTAGTAATTGAAGTAGTAGTAGTAGTAGTAGTAGTAGTAGTAGTAGTAGTAGTAGTAGTAGTAGTAGTAGTAGGGGGTATGATTCGGGGAGGTCCCACCTTCTGCCTTTTGAAGCAACTCAACACACCAAAAAAAGACAAACCCATATGTGTTTGGGCTGAAACAAAGTTCTAGCACGGCCACAGGGGATGTGTGTTGCAGCAAAGTTGGGGGTGCGGTTCTAGCTTGTTGTGGGTCGGGACCCCTTTTGGGATGGTAAAGGGGGAATCAAACGGACGTAGAGACACCTTGCGTCTGAGCAGCCCCGTGGATTTCATGCCCAACTCTTGATCATAGCCATCAAGATGATTTGCAGACGCACGCTTGATCCAGTTGCCTCAACAGCCCTACATGTGCAGCTGGAGACATCGGATGATGTGAGAAAAGAAAGAAAAGGAAACCACACTCCACTGAGGCCAATGCGTCTGCACTTCAAGCAAAATGCCGAATCAAGTGCTCAGTGGGAAACGTTTGGCTTTATGCCTTTTTCAGCTGGGTGGGAAAGCATGTGTTCCCAAAAAAGTTAAAGCTTAAAGATCCAAGCCAATAT